GCCTGATAGGTAGGTTCTTACCACGTCCCTTCTTCTAAGACCATTTAGCAGGAACCAATTGAGTGTAGTGGGGTGCGATTTCGAAGTGATAACTATTGTGGAAGAGTAATCTTGTACAAATTATATGGTCCCCACTTGCAGAAGATGGTTATATACTTGTACAATAATGTAGCTCAATGACTGCGTTTTTTTTTTTCATACCAGTATATTGAATAACCGAAGAACAAATACGGTATGTTGTGGTGCATCTTTTTCATATCGGTACATTAAACAACCAATGAATGAATACAGTACCATACCGTATTTTCTGGTGGAATTTTCAGTTATTTTATGGACTCTGTTAAATTTACATGAGTTAGCCCAAACAGAAGCTACTGTATACATAGTAGAAGATATAAAGCTGCATGATAAACCAACATAGAATGTCATGTATCAAATGCCGCACAGCACATGCCATGCCATACATCCATGCAGCACAAGTGATGCAGCATATAATATGCAACATCTGCAGTGCAACACATGGATTTGGTCGCATGCATTATATGCCAATTGCATGCAGCAGATGTTGCACAAGCAACACATGCCATGTATCAGATATTATGCGTGCACCATATCCCATAGGAAATGAACAGTTCCATTCACCTCGCCTCCACAACAATCCAAGGACGCTGAAGCCGTTCCCCCTGCCTATGTGTAAAACACCCTCGCACAAGCAGCCTCTCTCACTCGTCTTCCCTCCAGAACAGGACGCAGCCACGTAGGATGCAGGGAGTTGAAGCTCAGATCCAGCGTCCTCAGCTACGGCACTTCACTCACATACTGCACAAAAGCCTGGCGAATTTTCACACACTGCTGCAACTTCAAGCACTGCAGGCGTCTGAAGGACCTCAGAACCTTGGCACCGTCACAGCTGATGGATAACCCGGATAGGTCTAGAGAGACCACCTCGCTAAATGAGAGGACAGCTACATCAGCATGAAATGTACAGCCTACCAGTGTGGCGTCGCTCAAGCAAGTCAATGAGGGCAACCAGTTTGAATCGCCCAGGGCACTGCTGCTAATATGGAGTGTCCGGAGCAGCTTGAGCTGGCATAGGGACTGCCAGAATTGCTCCCCGCGCTCCACCACGTGCAAGGTGAGGTGCTCCAAGCGCTGCAGCCCAGGCAGCAAATCCCACAGGCTACCACCCACACAACTGCGAGAATCGCTTGCGCGTATAGCCGTGTCCGCCGATGAGCTGTGGTGAAAGAACTTAGTAACCTCTGGGAGGCAATTGCTGGCATGCTTGAGTGACAAGCCATGACTATATATGCGTTCAGGTTCCACCTGTAGGGTTCTCATAGCGGTGAGCTTACTGAGGTTCATCCATCGGTGGAGGGTCACTCCCTCGCTGCACGTGCAGGAAAAGGCCTCAAGGCTCACCAGCAAGCCGACCTGCTGCAGAATCAAGTCAGTAACCCCACTCAGATGCAGCTCCCTCAGATTCCAAAATAGCAGATTCTCGTGCAGCCCTGCAGGCTTTGATAGAGGCGCCCAAAGACCAGGTTGGGGTATCCGGGGTCGTCGAAAATGAGCTTGAGGAGGCAAGCAGAGCGCAGCAGCTGCGCAGCTTCTAGCGTGATGGGCATTCACTGGAGGGTGAGCGAGGTGAGGGAGGGCAAGCGGAGAATGCAGTCCATGTTGCGAGCAGACACAGAGGGGAGGCCGCAAAGAGTGAGTGCGGTGAGAGTGGGAGGAAGGTCAGGGCGGCAGTAGGGAGTGAGGGCAACGAGGAAGTGGAGGAGGTGGTCGCCTAGGTCTTTGAAACCATATCTGGGGAGAGAGGAAAAAGATGACATTGTCGATCAGGGCACTGGCACACGCCTGCTCGTCTTTTAGCAGAGAGTGCAGCAGCGAGTTGATCCCCGCCTGTGCTGCTGCCTTCATCGTTTCCTCTGTCACGGCCTGTGCTGCTGGTGATTTTGGCATCCGAGATTGTCCCCCCCTCTCATGTGCAACCGCCTGCCCTGATACCCTTTTGATGTCCAACCCTGCATCCCCTATGTTCGCCTCATGTGCACCTTGTGGAATATCCAGCTGCGAGGAGGAGAAGGGAGGAGTGCAATGGAACAGGAAGGGAAAAAGTGAACTCATGAGAGAAGAATAAGAGGAGAAAAGAGGTTGGACAAACCGATGGAGTGACTGTGGAATCGGAGGGAATGAAAGGAAATATGGAAGGCACTCCAGTTTCGCTTCTCACCTGAACCTGAGCATAGTTCTCTCCCTTCTTTCCGTTACATAATCTCCTTCCCCCTCCTTCTCTCTTCCACCGCTTCCCCTCGCCCTCCTTCTCACCCTCCCTCTTGCCCTTCCCCCTCGCTCTCTCCCTCTCCCTTCCCTCGCCTTTCAGGTAAGTCTTCTCCAATTTCTTTCTTTGGATTTCGATGCACAGCTTTATCCCCACCGTCCATCTTCTCGCCCGTGTTGAACCTTGTTACGATTCCCATCTCCTGCCCCTCCTGCCCTTCCCCCTGTTGGTGTAAGGGCCTAATAAACTCAAGCTATTAGGACTTAATCAAACTTAAAACCTCTCCTCGGGGTCACCTCCAAGGGTCCCTGGGTGCCTGGTACAAGACCAGCCCCTATCCTCGGGTCCGAGTTTGTAGAGAGAGGGATCAAGAAGGACTTAGTCAAAACAGCAAGAGTACCTTGAACGTCGTGCAGCGTGCCGTGCAGACCGTCGATCGGATTAAGCTGAGAACTTGCTATATCGAAGCTCGCTCTAAGAGCTTTAAAATGAGCCAAGTTGCCTCGCGAAAAGTTCTGCCATTACTAAGTTATGGCTCGGACAGCGTTTGCCTAGCGTTGGAGTGCTAGCATACTAGCGTTGACTCGGGTAGCATTCCGCCGTCGAATAGCGCAGAAACGAAATTCCAGCGAGGAAGGAATTCGCTTGAATCAATTTGACTATATTCACGTACAAACAGAGAAGGATTAAATAGTTCTAGCTAGCAAGGACCTTGGGAATCAACTTGGGAACAACCAGGGATGATCCCAAATAATTCCAAGCAACAGAACCAACCTGGCTGGACAAAATAGCAGGTGGTAGGTTGGTAAACAACCTCTGGTTCTGTTTTTCCAACCTGGGAAAACAACAACCAGGTTCAGGTTCTAAAAACAGAACCTGTTTTGTCTTTGCCCAACCAGCCAAATGCTGGTTCCGCTGGTTTCCCCTGGCCTTGTAGCATGCAGATACAGACAAAAAACATCCAACCTTTACCTAAATTGTACCCCTATAGTGCCTTCCCTGCTACACTATAGTTAACAAAACAAAACAGTACAATTTCGAGTTGGATAGAACTGAATCTGCGCAATCAACTCAACCGAACTGCAAAGCTTCCATCTTGGGTTCCTTTGCGAGCTCGTCCTTTCTGCTTGCACTGTTCATAGCGCGTACAATGTTGTGCCGAAGCGCACATTGCGCGAGTACCTGCAAATGCATCAAGTGAAAAATGCGAAAGCAAACAAACACACGAACACACCATTCACACGCATTCGCACACGCATACTCGTACAAACAGACGGCAGGATGTCGTGCAATGTGCATTTGCACCCAACACACCCCCCCCCCCCCCCCCCCTCCTCCTCCTCTCTCCTGCTCCTCCTCCTCCTCTCTATTGGGTGCAAATTCATATTGAACGACATCCTGCCGTCTGTTTTTACGAGTATGCGCATGTGAATGCATTTGGGTGTGAATGGAATGTTCGTGTATTTGTTTGCTTTCGCAATTTTCGCTTGATGCATTTGCAGGTACTTGCGCAATGTGCGCTTCGGCACGACATTGTACGCGCTATGAACAGTGCAAGCGGAAGGGTTGAGCTCGCAAAGGAACCCAAGATGGAAGCTTTGCAGTTCGGTTTAATTGATTCGCATATTCTGTTCTATCCAACTCGAAATTGTACTGTTTTGTTTGGTTGACTATAGTGTAGCAGGGCAGAGACTATGGGGTACAATTTAGGTGAAGGTTGGATGTTGTTTATCTGTATCTGCATGCTACAGGGCCAGGAGAAACCAGCGGAACCAGCATTTGGCTGGTTGGGCAAAGACAAAACAGGTTCTGTTTTTAGAACCTGAACCTGGTTGTTGTTTTCCCAGGTTGGAAAAACAGAACCAGAGGTTGTTCATCACCAGCTATTATTCACCAGCTATTAATCACCAGAGGTGTTACCTACCACCTGCTATTTTGTCCAGCCAGGTTGGTTCTGTTGCTTGGAATTATTTGGGATCATCCTGATTGTTCCAAGGTTGATTCCCAAGGTCCTTACTAGCTAGAACTACTTATTCCTTCATATTGTCAATTGATTCAAGCGAATTCCTTCCTCGCTGGAATTTCGTTTCTGCGCTATTCGACGACGGGATGCTACCTGAGTCAACGCTAGTACGCTAGCACTTCAACGCTAGGCAAACGCTGTCCGAGCCATAAATTCGTAGCGGCAGGACTTTTCGCATGGCTTATTTTAAAGCTCTTGGAGCGAGCTTCGATATAACGAATTCTCAGCTTTATCCGATCGACGGTCTGCACGGCACACTGCGCGACGTTCAAGGTACTCTTGTTATTTTGGCTAAGTCATTCTTGACTCCTCTCTCTACAAACTCGGACCCGAGAATAGGGGCTGGTCTTGTACCAGGCACCAAGGGACCCTTGGAGGTGACCCTGAGGAGAGGTTTTAAGTTTGATGAAGTTTTAATAGCTTGAGTTTATTTGGCCCTTACACCAACACTCCCTCCTGCTCCTCTTCTTCCTCTCTCTCTTGCTCCTCCTCCTCTCTATTCCCCTCCTCCTCCCCTGTTCCTCCTCTACTCTTTCAAGATTCTTGTCCAACCAAGACATGCGTTTTCCACAGCCCACGCATTAGTGTATTCACCTCCTGTGTCTTCCCTCTCATGGCCTGTGCGTACGCGGAGAGCGATGTCAGGTGTTGCCAGGCAACACATACGAGGGGTAAGGCAAACGGGCGAGAATGGCGGAGTGGGGTAACGATATGATAGAGGGGCTGCCTGTGCATAGGTGAGAGGGGCTGCCTGTGCATGGGTGAGAGGGACTGTCTGTGCACGGGTGAGAGGGGCTGCCTGTGCACGGGGAGAGGGGCTGCCTGTGTACGGGTTAGAGGGGCTGCCTGTGCACGGGTGAGAGGGGCTGCCTGTGCACGGGTGAGAGGGGCTGCCTGTGTATGGGTGAGAGGGGCTGCCTCTGCACGGTGAGAGGGGCTGCCTGTGCACGGGTGAGAGGGGCTGCCTGTGCACGGGTGAGAGAGGCTGCCCATGCACGGGTGAGAGGGGCTGCCTGTGCACGGGTGATAGAGGCTGCCTGTGCACGGGTGAGAGGGGCTTCCTGTGCACGGGTGAGAGGGGCTGCATGTGCACGGGTGAGAGGGCTGGCAGATGTTTCTTGTAGGCGGGTGTGGCAAGGCAGGGCGGAACGAGGAGGTCGAAGAAGGACGGAGCGGTGGGAGGAAAGAGGGACGGTAGGGGAAAGGAGGGACGGTGGGGGGAAGTAGGGACGGTGGGGGATAGGAGGGACGGTGTGAGGAGCGAAAAACAGGAGGAGGAAGAGACCAGGAGGACAGGGAGGGTGAAGGGAAAAAGCAGTGAGCGAGGGGTACTTGCAGCATATGGCATGGCACAGAGCATGCCAAAAGAGGCCTCTTATGCAAATCAATCACGCCATGCATGGTGGTACTGACCTCATCTAAAAAAAGTGGCTCTTGAAAATGGCAATTTACAGCCATAATCTCCATGCATATGGCGGGTTTATGGCTTTAAATTGGCGGCTGTATGCAGGCTGCTTTGTAGGCGTTTGGGGCCCGTAAATTGCCCGCCTGTTTTTTTTGGCGTTTGCGCGGAAGCTGGCGTGTGGTGTCGATATTGGTAATCCAATCCTAAAGCCCCACATCATCACCTGAAACTAAGTTCATTGGTCAAGTACAACAACAACAACAACAACAACAACAACAACAACAACAACAACAACAACAACAACAACAACAACAACAACAACAACAACAACACAACAACATCAACAACAACAACATCAACAACAACAACAACAAACAACAACAACAACAACAACAACAACAACAACACAACAACAACAACAACAACAACACAACAACAACACAACAACAACAAAAACAATCAACAACAAACAACAACACAACAACAACAAACAACAACAACAACAACAACAACAACAACAACAACAACAACAACAACAACACAACAAACAACAACAACGACGACGAGGACGACGACGACGACGACGACGAAGACGACGAAGACAACGATGACAACAGCAACAGCAACAATAGCAACAACAACAACAACAGCAACATCAACAGTAGAGCAATAGCAGAAACAGCAACAACAGCATCAAAAACAGCAACAACAAAAGCAGTAGCAACAACGATAACAACAGCAGCAACAGCAGCAGCAGCAGGAGCGAGCAAGAGCAACAGCAACAGCAACAGAAACAAGAACAGCAAAAACAACATGAACAAGCACAACAACAGAAGCAACACAGCAACAACAACAGCAGCAGGAGCAACAATAGCCGGGACGACGACGGCGTGGCGGCGACGACGATGGCGCGATGATGGCGACGGCAACGACGACGTTGATGATGACAGCGCCAACGATAACGAAAACGATTACGATTGCGACAACAACGACGACAACAAGGACGACAGCGACAACAACGATAATAACACGAACGAAGACAACGACGGTGACAACAATAGCAACGACTACGACTGTAACGACGATAATAAAAGCGATGACAACGAGGACGATGACAACCACAACAACGGCGATGGTAGATCGCTTGGGTGCAACGTTGGCAGTTCGCCTTGCTGCAACGCTGGCAGTTCGCCTTACTACAACGCTAGCAGGTCGCATTGACGCATCGTTTGTGAGCCGCTCTTCTGCTATGCTGGCAGGTTGCCTTGCAGACTTCTTGCTAGGTTTGCAGTGCATTCCGTGCTGTGTCGACTTGCTTGCTTCATAGTAATACTGTTCAATCTCATTTCCTAGTAATAGTTTGCTTGAATTTCACCAAGGCAACGGATGGCCAGTAGGATATGTACGGAGGTACGACGACTCACTATGCGAATGCTTGATCCAAATCTGTTGGGTGCAAATGCACATTGCACGACATCCTGCCGTCTGTTTGTACAAGTATGCGTGTGCGAATGCATTTGTGTGTGAATGGTGTGTTCGTGTGTTTGTTTGCTTTCGCATTTTTCGCTTGATGCATTTGCAGGTACTCGCGCAATGTGCGCTTCGGCACAACATTGTACGCGCTATGAACAGTGCAAGCAGAAAGGACGAGCTCGCAAAGGAACCCAAGATGGAAGCTTTGCAGTTCGGTTGAGTTGATTGCACAGATTCAGTGCTATCCCACTCGAAATTGTACTGTTTTGTTTGGTTAACTATAGTGTAGCAGGAAAGGCACTATAGGGGTACAATTTAGGTGAAGGTTGGATGTTGTTTGTCTGTATCTGCATGCTACAAGGCCAGGGGAAACCAGCAGAACCAGCATTTGGCTGGTTGGGCAAAGACAAAACAGGTTCTGTTTTTAGAACCTGAACCTGGTTGTTGTTTTCCCAGGTTGGAAAAACAGAACCAGAGGTTGTTTACCAACCTACCACCTGCTATTTTGTCCAGCCAGGTTGGTTCTGTTGCTTGGAATTATTTGGGATCATCCTTGGTTGTTCCCAGGTTGATTCCCAAGGTCCTTGCTAGCTAAAACTATTTAATCCTTCTCTGTTTGTACCTGAATATAGTCAAATGATTCATGTGAATTCCTTCCTCCTCGCTGGAATTTCGTTTCTACGCGGTTCGTTGGCGGAATGCTACCCCAGTCAACGCTAGTACGCTAGCACTCTAATGCTAGGCAAACACCGTCTGAGCCATAACTTCGTAATGGCAGAACTTTTCGCGAGGCAACTTGGCTCATTTTAAAGCTCTTGGAGCGAGCTTCGATATAGCGAATTCTCAGCTTAATCCGATCGACGATCTGCACGGCACGCTGCGCGACGTTCAAGGTGCTCTTGCTGTTTTGACTAAGTCCTTCTTGATCCCTCTCTACAAACTCGGACCCGAGGATAGGGGCTGGTCTTGTACCAGGCACCCAGGGACCCTTGGAGGTGACCCCGAGGAGAGGTTTTGAGTTTGATTAAGTCCTAATAGCTTGAGTTTATTAGGCCCTTACACCAAACAAGCTGGTATCAGAGCTGCGTTATAGTGATCCTTGTTATAGGTATCGTGCAAATGCACATTGCACGACATCCTGCCGTCTGTTTGTACGAGTATGCGTGTGCGAATGCATTTGCGTGTGAATGGTGTGTTCGTGTGTTTGTTTGTTTTCGCAATTTTCGCTTGATGCATTTGCAGGTACTCGCGCAATGTGCGCTTCGGCACAACATTGTACGCGCTATGAACAGTGCAAGCAGAAAGGACGAGCTCGCAAAGGAACCCAAGATGGAAGCTTTGCAGTTCGGTTGAGTTGATTGCGCAGATTCAGTTCTATCCAACTCGAAATTGTACTGTTTTGTTTGGTTAACTATATGTAGCAGGGAAGGCACTATAGGGGTACAATTTAGGTGAAGGTTGGATGTTGTTTGTCTGTATCTGCATGCTACAAGGCCAGGGGAAACCAGCGGAACCAGCATTTGGCTGGTTGGGCAAAGACAAAACAGGTTCTGTTTTTAGAACCTGAACCTGGTTGTTGTTTTCCCAGGTTGGAAAACAGAACCAGAGGTTGTTTACCAACCTACCACCTGCTATTTTGTCCAGCCAGGTTGGTTCTGTTGCTTGGAATTATTTTGGATCATCCCTGGTTGTTCCCAGGTTGATTCCCAAGGTCCTTGCTAGCTAGAACTATTTAATCCTTCTCTGTTTGTACCTGAATATAGTCATTGATTCAAGCGAATTCCTTCCTCGCTGGAATTTCGTTTCTGCGCTATTCGACGGCGGAATGCTACCCGAGTTAACGCTAGTATGCTAGCACTCCAACGCTAGGCAAACGCTGTCGGAGCCATAACTTCGTAATGGCAGAACTTTTCGCGAGGCAACTTGGCTCATTTTAAAGCTCTTGGAGCGAGCTTCGACATAGCGAATTCTCAGCTTAAATCCGACCGACGGTCGCACGGCACGCTGCGCGACGTCAAGGTACTCTTGCTGTTTTGACTAAGTCCTTCT